TTTCGGTATGACGGGTACGTCGGGCCCTTAGGGTCCCGTCTGGAGCTGTATGAGTTTCAACTTCAAATTCACTTTCAGTGTCATGGTCCGACTGAACTTGAGGGTCGTTTAGGGGACGCCTCTCTTCAGGAGTCGGTACAGACTTGGATGCCATCTCTGAAGTACTCTCCCCCACAGACGGCGCCAAATGTTTCGGGGTTTTCTGATGTCCTGCGGGAGAGTTACAATTCCGAGACTGGAACCGGACGCCTGTACCTGCAAAATAACGGAGACTCCTGAGAGCTCCGCCTCCAACGGTCAAGTTAGTACCTGATTAAGGAGTAATTAATACGGAAATTAAAGTAATAAGATCTCTCTAGGTGAGAGTGTTCAATGTTGGTAATCTGCTTTGTTAGCGAGATTAGCCGGTTATTAGTGTCTTCCGTAACGTTTCTGTTCTGTTCCGTTCTTCAGGTGAGACTAATTTCTTCATCCCCTTTAATGAGGATTAATTAAGTATTTATAGTCTAGAGAAGCGTGCCACTCTCTAGGTTTAGGGTAAACCTAGGGCTGACCGGGCCTCTAGACAGGATTGGGCCTTGTTGGCCGGTTTTCCCATTTGGCATGGGTGGACACGTGGCGTGTCTCAATTGGTCCGTAGAGGACGTATCTGTGATTGACACGTGGCAGGCTCCTATTGGCCTACGTGAAGGACACGTGGCGGAACCTGGTTGGTCCACTTGTCAAACGGTGATTGGTGGATAAAAATCCCCTAATCAACGAACATTTATGACAACAAGAAATTATCATATATGGTTCCAAACAATATTATATGACCACGAGATGTATTCCCTAGAATTTCAAGGATTTTACACACCGGGCCCCGAAAACTCCAAAATTTCTTAAAAAGCGTGGGTAATTAGCCTTTAATTTTTGAATTTTTTGATTTTTTTTCGCGTGGAAATAAAAATTGTCAAAATGTTTACCCTGGTCCCTAATACCCTACAGGAATCCAATTGGGTAGGTGGAACCATCAAATTTGCTTTTAAACGGACAATTTACCGATTTAAAACTCTCACCGATTTTCATTAATTTAAGCCTACCACAAACAATTATAACAACATATAATGATCATTTATGGTTCCAAATGATATTATATGACCCTGAGATGTATCCCCTAAAATCTCATGGCTTTTCAACAACGGGCCTCGAAACCTTCAAAATTTCTCAAAAAGTGTGGATATTAGCCTTCAATTTTGGAATTTTTTACTTCTTTTCGCCGAAAATAAAAATTGCCGAAATGTTGAACATGTTCTCTAATATCCTCCAGTAGTCCCATTGGGTCGGTAGAACCATTCAATTTGCCCTTAAACGGCCAATTTACCGATTTACAACTCTCACTGATTTCATTAATTCAAGCCTACCACGAACATTTATGACAACATATAATGATCATTTATGGTTTCAAATGGTATTATATGACCCTGAGATGTATCCCCTAAAATCTCATGGCTTTTCAACAACGGGCCTCGAAACCTTCAAGATTTCTCAAAAAGTGTGGATATTAGCCTTCAATTTTGGAATTTCTTGACTTCTTTTCGCCTGAAAATAAAAATTGCCGAAATGTTGACCATGGTCTCTAATATCCTCCAGCAGTCCCGTTGGGTCGATAGAACCATTCAATTTGCCTTTAAACGGCCAATTTACCGATTTACAACTCTCACCGATTTCATTAATTCAAGCCTACCACGAACATTTATGACAACATATAATGATAATTTGTGGTTTCAAATGGTATTATATGACCCTGAGATATATCCCCTAAAATCTCATGGCTTTTCAACAACGGGCCTCGAAACCTTCAAAATTTCTCAAAAAGTGTGGATATTAGCCTTCAATTTTGGAAGTTTTTGACCTTTTTTTCGCCTGAAAATAAAAATTGCCGAAATGTTAACCATGGTCCCTAAAATCCTCTGGGAGTCCCTTTGGGTGGGTGGAACCATCCAATTTGCCTTCAAACGACAAATTTACCGATGTACAACTTGCACTGATTTCATTAACTGAAGCCTACCACGAACATTTATGTCAACATATAATGATCATATATGGTTCCAAATGGCATTATATGACCCCGAGATGTATTTCCTAGAATTTCTAGACTTTTTGACATTGAACCCCGAAACCTTCAAAATTTCGTGAAATGCGTGTATATTAGTCTTCAATTTTAGAATTTTTTGACTTTTATTTCGCTCGGAAATAAATAGCGAAATAAAAATTGTCAAAATGCTTATTATGGCCCCTAATACCCTCCAGCAGTTCAAGTGGCCGAGTGGAACCATCCAATTAGCCTTTAAACGGCAAATTTACCGATATAGAACTTGCACCGATTTCATTAACTCAAGCCTACCACAATCATTTATGACTACGTATAATTATCATATATGGTTCCAAACAACATTATATGACCTCGAGATTTATTCCCTAGAATTTCAAGACTTTCGACACCGAGCCCTGAAACCTTCTAAATTTCGCAAAATGCGTGATTTAGTTTTCAATTTTAGAATTTTTTGACTTTTTTTCACCCGGAAATAAAAATTGTCAAATTTTGACCATGGTCCCTAATACCCTTCAGGATTCCAATTGGGTGGGTGGAACCATCCAACTTGCCTTTAAATGGCCAAGTTATCGGTTTACAACTTGCATCGATTTCATTAACTCAAGCCTACCACAACCATTTATGACAACATATAATGATCATATATTGTTCAAACGTCATTATATGACACTGAGATGTATCCCCAAAAATATCCAGGCTTTTCGACACCAGGCTCCGAAACCTCCAAACTATTTCAATAAGCATGAATATTAGCCTTCAATTTTGGAATTTTTTTGACTTTTTTAACCCGAAAATAAAAATTGTCAAAATGTTTACCATGGTCCCTAATACCCACCGGGAGTCCAATTGGCCGGGTGGAACCATCCAATTTGCCTTTTAACGACCAATTTACCAGTTTACAACTTGCACCGATTTCATTAACTCAAGCCTACCACGAACATTTATGACAACATATAAAGATCATATATGGTTCCAAACGGTATTATATAACCCCAAGATTTATCCTCTAATATTTCAAGTCTTTTCGACACCGAGCCCCAAAACCTAAAAAAATTCTCAAAAAGCGTGGATACTAGCCTTCAATATTGTAATTTTTTAATTTTTTTCGTCTAGAAATAAAAATTGTTGAAATGTTTACCATGGTCCCAAACACCCTCCGAGAGTCCAATTGGATGGATGGAACCATCCAATTTGCATTTAAACGGTTAATTTACCGGTTTACAACTTGCACCGATTTCATTAACTCAAGCCTACCTCGAACATCTATGATCATATATGGTTTTAACGGCATTTTATGACCCCCAGATGTATTCCGTAAAATTTCAAGACTTTGCGACACCAGTCCCCGAAATCTCCAAAATTTCTCAAAAAGCGTGGACATTAGCCTTCAATTTTTGAAATTTTTGACTTATTTTCGCTCAGAATAAAAATCGAGGAAATGTTTATCTTGGTCCCTAATACTCTTCGGGAGTCCAATTGGGTGGCTGGAACCATCAAATTTGCCTTCAAACGACCAATATACCGGTTTACAACTTGCACCGATTTACCGGTTTACAACGGCCAATTTAATTAACTTGCACTGAACCCGACTTGAACCAAAATTAACCCAAACCCATTATAACCTGTCAAAACCCGAATTTAACCCGACTTGTAATTAACCTGACCTGAATTCAACTCGACCCGTTCCAAATCCAACCCGAATTTAACCCAACCTGTTACAAACCCGACTTGAAATCAACCCGACTTTTTATTGTCCTGACCCAAATTAAACCCAACTTGTTTTGACCCGACTCGATTTTTACCAGACGTATTACTTACCCAATTTGTTACTAACCCGACTCGAAATCGACACGACTTAGCTTGTTATTGAGCTGGCCTAAATTCAACCCAAATTATTCCTGACCACCATAAATCACCTTAAATGCAATTTAGACCACCTTATTATTGTTGATCAAAGCATTTTGTCTAGGGAGACCAAGTCGGTCCATGCCAGCAAAAGAAAGGAGCATCATCCTCAAATTTAAGAGTTAAATATAGTATATATTTGTATTATGGTCAAAGGAGATAATTATCTTCCTAAATTATAGACTATAGTTCCCTAGTATATGGCCATATATATTATAGTCAAAGGAAATAATTAGCTTGATAAAAGTGATAATTATCTATTTATAGTTAGTTGAACTCGAATATGACCTGACTTAAAAATGACCCGACCAATTATAACCTGCAAATTATTGACTTGAACAAACCCGACTTGAATCCGAGAATGACCCGACTTGGAAATGACCCAACCTGGTTATAAGGCGCAAATTATTGATTTAAACCGAACCTGACTTCAACCTGAGAATGACCCGACCTGATTATTATAGCCCGCAAATTATTGACTTGAACTGAAACTGACTCAAACTCGAGAATGACCCGACCTGATTCTAACCCGCAAATTATTGACTTGAACTGAACCCGACTCGAACTTGAGAATTACCCTAACCGTTTTAACCCGATAAAACCTTAATTAAACCTGACCCGCATGTAACCCGTTATTAACACGACCTAAACCCGATAAGAGTTTGACCCGACTCAAGCATGACCTAACCCAAACCCGACCCGCATAGGTTATGGAATTAATCTAAATTGACCCGGTCCACTATTACCCGACCCAAACTCGACCCGTTTACCCGAATTGATAGCTCTAGTTGATACAGGATCAACATAAGATGCACAACATTTAGGATGAAAAACAAATACTAGCATAACTTCCTTATTTTTACTGCAGAACTTTAGATCTTTACTTCTATTTTATTTAAAGGGGTTACAAGAATTTGTATACAAAATTTTCAGTGATTGCATTAAATCTAAGTTCAATCTACAACTCTACAGCAGATGGGCATATGTCATCTGAGACCATCTTCACAACAATCTGAGGTTACCGTACGAGCCTGAATCTTTACCATTTGTTCTCGTCGATTTCCCAAGTGTAATGCTGTAAGTATCCACAATAAACACACCTATGTTCACACAAACAGAAATAAGTAATTCTAATCAGTGCAGGAGAAGGCAAAAGGAAGACAAGTTCTACAAGCAAAAAGCTGATAAACTCGATAACTTTCTCATATAAAGAGGGTGACTCCCACATCAGAGATACTGGTAAATGATAAGTCAAAAGAATAACTGAATAAGGATTTCATAACAAGAATGAAAGCAAAGACTATCCACGTCATTAATCTTAAGCTATTGCCTACAGGTATGAAGAGGGTTCTCTCCTCAGCATTTGTTCACAATAATAAGTTATCTGGAAATTTCTAGGAGTTTTAACCCAGAAGAATTACGTAACTAGATAGCTGGATTAAGTTATGAGCAGAATACCTGCAACTTCGCTATCTAGAAAATTTTGAATCCGACAGGTGAGATAATAAGTAGGCGCACGTCAACCCACAAAACAGTTTGTGCCAGAGGAGAGCATATGTTTGCAAAAAAGGGCATTACAACTACAGCAAATAATGTGATTCAGTCATTGCAGAGGCAGGAGGCCTCCTGTGAGTGGGAACAAGCGATGAGTGTGTAAGAGCACCACAGATTAAGACTTACAGGAAGGGCGTAGAGTGATATAGTTGATGTTTTCTCCTCAAAAGATCCAAAAAACAGCTTGAACATCCCCGCTGCAGTGGCATCTCCAAGCCTTTGCACAATTACATCTATGCACACCTGAATCAGTATTTTAAGGAGAAAGGTAGTCAGTAGACAAAAAAAAAAAAAAAAAAAAAAATAATAATAATAATAATAATCTCTGCGTTGTGACAGCTTTAGAAAAAGCGGCAAGGAAAAGGGCCAACACAAAATTTATTTATTTTTTTCAATGAAGCTATGGAACCTCAAGTGAATTTTCATGTCTACATTACTATATTAAAACATTTTAGGTGGAAGTATACTCTTCTTACATAGCCTTATATATTTATAACACTGATCAATAGCATAAGATTGAGAAAGTATGATTTTTAAGTTCATGTTCAATGCAGAATTTATATGTACCTTGGCTTTGTATTTCTCGTCCTGTGAAACAACAGTAAACAGGAGTTCCCTTCCTGGCCTAGTTACAACATACATAACAACCTGTAAAAGGGAGAATGTGAAGCAATGACTTATTCATTAGTATCCTTTTAAAATAAAGTTTCAATTTATGGAATTAAATACAGTAAATTTACAAACCTTCCTCAGGGTTTCACAAACACCAACGACTATCCAAGTTGGCCATACAGATATAGCAACTAAATTGAGTAAACCAGCTAAGGGAGCAGAGCTAATTGCAACAGTGACCCCAGCAACAGTAAGTATGCGACCCTGTTTTAGTAAACACAAAATCATTTGCATTAGCAATACCAATAACCTGCATTACAAATAAAAGTCTCACTTATAAAAATCATAAATTTGCACCGAACTGACGTCAAAGGCTTATATATAACAAAAAAGCAATTAGCAAGCTAAAAAAACAATTTACATTTTTCCATGACAGGAACAGAAAACCATTTTAGAGCATTATAAACTGAATCGTGGGATAATAGTGGGACATCTATTTGGGGAAGGAGGCCACTTTTGATGACATTGTAGAAATTCATTTTAGGTATAGGTAGCTAAGTAAAGGTCGGAGAGAAAGTCTCACCTCTACCTAAATGCAACAGAACACATCAAAGATGAATATATGATAAACACATAAGCAAAACTGGGTCAATATCATGTGAATCAGCTCCACCTTGACATTACACTCTTTGGCATAGATGAATACATTATTATGCTTTCAATTAGCGATCAAATTAGGAATATGGAAACGCAAAGGTGTAGATAAAAGAATTGAGGTGCATCCAGAACAGAGGCCTAGTGTCTCAGCAAAGGTCAATAATGAAATTGCAAACATATTATTTTGCATACTTCAAAATTCAGATAAAACCACAAATTTAAAATTAAAATTGAATACTTCCACAATATGCATCTCATTTTGCCATTTCATAAATTAGCATAGCATACCGTTAAGGTGATTTGCCCTGAAAATATAAAAAGGGCAATAAAACTATTGATCTCCGCAAACAATTTCATTCTACCAGCAGCACTTGATGTTGTCAGGGCAATGATAGAAACTTTCTGCAAAGCAGTAAATAACATAATAAGCAAAAATTAATGTGACTTAGTTAACGAGAAATATAATTGACAGTAAAAAGAAAACCAAATATAAGGCTCATAGATCAGCAGTCCAACTAAAAGAGAAAGAATGCCAATGAAACATAGAGCATTGGACCATTGGAATAACATAAGTCAGACGAACAAGTTCCCCCAAGGGTCAAGCAGCATTATGCCTCAAGGTAGATTAAAATGCCTGATCCTAAACATAAAGATAAATACAATTTATTCCTACTTACTTCATATGGGGCTAATATTTCTGACCGCAACGATAAGAGAAGATGGTATTGGCAAAAAAAAAAAAAAAAACATTTCCCTCCCAAAGCCAGAATACTTTTGTCATGAAATACTCGAGCAAAGTTGCTGGAGAGATTAAATCTCTTATGGTCCTACCTAACATAAAACAAACGTTCTGCATAAAAGATGTCAGCCCTTCTTTCATGGACATGACAAGCACACAAGGGGAAGGAGCAAATCATGTATATGGATCTACATCATATGTTAGTATAAATACAGCACTTCAGAACAACTTCACTTCATAAGTCTAGAAGAGCTAAGTGCTTGCAAGAGAAATATCAAGATGTAATCTTCTGCCATACGCGCAAAATCGTAGTCATTAAAGAGGTATAATATCGAGAGCCCCTACAAAAAATGGCAACTCAACCCCTTCTCAATCAAGAATCTGTTATAAAAATTGGTGATTTCAAAGAGAAATCTCATGTTCCTATCTTCCCTAGCGATAAATTCCTACACTAAAGCACCATAAAAATAATTACTAACAGAAAAGTAATAAAATTCTATCAGCAAACCTCGATCGCAATTCCCAAGTTCCCAACATTAGAATTTCAGGGGGGGGGGGGGGGGGACCCAAGATGCCTTAACTGAGAAACCCAACCATTCTTTACCGAAAAAAAGTTAAAAACTACAAATGTCATTTGGTGACAATAGGACTTGCCTGGGAGCAATCAGAGTCTTGTATCCATCAAACTCTAAACCCTAAAAGCCCAAACCCTTGTCTACACGAGAGAAAAGTTCCAATACACCAAACAAGAAAAATTCTATCCCCATCACTCAGACCAACAAAGTACCTTACCACACAAAATCATCCTCCAAAAACAGATCAGATATAAAGTTGTCTCTGACCCTAACAAAATGTACCATACTTTTAGAACTCAGCATTAGTAATTGTGATACTGACTATACTAGGTTAATCCTTAAACCTTACAAAAGCAACTAGAAAATCGTAATACATGAAGGACATTGATGATACCTATAGGCATCTCAACTAGAGCTGTCGAAAGTTGACCCGACCCGAAATACCGACTCAAACCCGATTATTAACCGAACCATCTTAACCGGAAAAAATGGTGACCCAAACCCGACCTGAAACCAACCCTAGACCCGAGTTGACCCAAATATGTGAGACCTGAACCCGAACATGAACTGACTAGGAGATGACCCGACCCGAATGTAACACGTAAAATTATTGACCTGAACTGAACCCGACTTGAACCGAAAATGACCCAAACCCGTTTTAACCAATCAAAACCAGAATTTAACCCGACTTGTTACAAACTCGACCCGAAATCAAACCGACTTGTTATTAACCTGACACAAATTCAACCCGACTTGTTATTGACCCGACCTGAATTTTACCATAGGTGATAGAATTAATTCGCATTGACCCGACCTAAGTTGACCCGACCCACTCTAACTGACCTAAAACCGACCCGTTTACCTGAATTGAAAGCTCTACCCGAAAACTCCAAAATTTCTCAAAAAGCAAGGATATAAGCCTTTAAACGACCAATTTACCATTGTACAACTTGCACCAATTTCATTAACTCAAGTCTACCACGAACATTTATGACAACAAATAATGATCATATATGGTTCCAAACAGTGGCGGGCCTAGAAATTTGACAATGGAGGACAATTTCGATAATTCAACTAACATCAACCTATTTAAAAAAAAAAAAAAAAACGGGTACACAATACAAGTAATTTGGGTTTGGTTGGGAAATAGGAATAAGGGAGTAGTCGAGTGGTATGGTTGAAATAAAATACCCCCCCAAAAAAAATGAGTGATGTTACAAGGGGGATTCGAATGCCATATTATCTTGTGATGTTAATTTCTTAGCAAACATTTGCCAAAGGTGCTCGCTGCAGTCCGTGACTCGTGGCCGCGTGGGTGGTGGTTCGTGCCTCGTGGTTGGGAAATAGGAATAAGGGAGTAGTCGAGTGGTTAGGTTAAAATAAAGGAAATTTTTTTATTTTTACCACCTCCAAAAACAACTTAATTGTTTTTACCACCTCCAAAAACAACTTTTTTTTTATGGAGATGGTAATACCAAATTTTTCGTTTTTTGCGTGTGGTAAAAGTCAAAATAACCTTAAATAAAACACCCACCAAAAAAAAAAAAAAAGGGATAATGTTCCAAGGGGGACCTGATGTAGGTAAACCTTAAATTGGGCCCCTTGACATATTGTTTCTAGCCCATTACCAACTTAGCTAAGGCAAACTTCTTATTTAGTCTTGCACTCAATTTTATATAACTATTTTCCTAGTTTTATTTTTTTTCCTATATATTTTTTTCCTTTGTTTTTTTTTCCCCGAAAGTGGGGGGACAATGGTCCCCCCTTGTTCCTTCATGGGTCCGCCCATGGTTCCAAATGGCATTATATAACCCCGAGACGTATCCCCTAAAATCTCAATGCTTTTCGACACGGGCCCCGAAACAATCGAAATTTCTCAAAAAAACGTGGATATTATCCTTCACTTTTAGAATTTTTTGACTTTTTTTCGCCGGGAATCCGGGATATAAAAATTGCCGAAATGTTTACCACGGTCCCTAATACCCTCATGGATATCAATTGGGTGGGTGGAACCATCCAATTAGCCTTTAAACGACCAATTTACCGGTTTATGACTTGCACTGATTTTATTAATTCAAGCCTACCACGAACATTTATGACAACAAATAATGATCATATATGGTTCCAAACGGCATTATATGGACCCGAGATGTATCCCCAAACAATCCAAATGATTTTCGACACTGGGATCCGAAACCTCCAAAATTTCTCAAAATGCGTAGATATTAGCCTTCAATTTTGGAATTTTTTTTTTCGCCCGGAAATAAAAATTGCCGAAACATTTACAATGATCCCTAATACACTCCGGGACTCTGGAAGTCCAATTGCATGGGTGGAACCATCCTATTTTCCATTAAACAGCCAATTAACCGGTTTACAACTTGCACCGATTTATTTAACTCAAGCCCATTACAAACATTTATGACAACCTATAATGATTATATATGGTTCCAAACAACATTATATGACTCCGAGATATATCCCTTAGCATTTCTAGACTTTTTGAAATCGGGCTCAGAACAAAAAGTGTGGATATTAATCTTCAATTTTGGAAGTTTTAGACTTTTTTCGCCCGAAAATAAAAATTGTCGAAATATTTACCATAGTCCCTAATACCCTCTGAGTGTCCAATTGGATGGGTGGAACCATCCAATTTCCCTTTAAACGGCCAATTTACCGATTTACAACTTGCACCGATTTCATTAACTCAATCCTACCACGAACATTTATGACAACATATATGGTTCTAAACGATATTATATTACCCCGAGATGTATCCCATAAAATCTCAAGCCTTTTCGACACCGTGTCTCAAAACCTCTAAAATTTCTCAAAAAAACGTGGATATTAGCATTCAATTTTTGAATTTTTTTACTTTTTTTCTACCGGAAATAAAAATTGCCGAAATGTTTGCCATATTCCCTAATACTCTCCGGGAGTCCCATTGGGTGGGTGGAACCATCCAATTTGCATTTAAATGACCAATTTACCGGTTTACAACTTGCACCGATTTCATTAACTCAAGCCTACCACGAACATTTATGACAATATATAACAATCATTTATGGTTCCAAATGACATAATACGACCCTGAGATGTATCCCCTAAAATCTCATTTTTTTTCTACACCGGGCCCCGAAACCTTCAAAATTCCTCAAAAAACATGGATATTAGCCTTCTATTTAGGAATTTTTTGACTTTTTTTCGAACGAAAATAAAAATTGCTGAAATGTTTACCATGGTCCCTAATACCCTACGGGAGTCCAATTGGCCGGGTGGAACCATCCAATTTGTCTTTAAACGACCAATTTACCGGTTTACAACTTGCATCGATTTCATTAACTCAAGTCTACCACGAACATTTATGAAAACAAATAATGATCATATATAGATCCAAACGACATTATATGACCCCAAGATCTAGTCCCTAGAATTTTAAGACTTTTAGATACAAGGCTTCGAGACTCCAAAATTTCTTTAAAAGCGTAGATACTAGTCTTCAATTTTCGAATTTTTTTGACTTTTTTTTGCCTGTAAATAAAAATTGCCGAAATGTTTAACATAATCTCAAATACCCTCCGGGAGTCAAATTGGATAGGTGGAATTATCCAATTTGCCTTTAAACTACCAATCTACACGTTTATAACTTGCACCGATTTCATTAACTCAAGCCTACCACGAACATTTATGACAACAAATAATGATATATATGGTTCCAAACGACATTATATGACCCAAGATATATCCCCTATAATTTCTAGACTTTTCGACACTGGGCTCTGAAACATCCATAATTTGTGAAAAAGTGTGGATATTAGTCTTCAATTTTGGAAGTTTTAGACTTTTTTTGGCCCGAAAATAAAAATTGCCGAAATGTTTACTATGGTCCCTACTACCGTGCGGGAGTCCAATTGGGTGGGTAGAACCATCCATATTGCTAAACGGCCAAATTATCGATTTACAACTTGCACCAATTTCATTAACTCAATCCTACCACAAACATTTATGACAACATATATGGTCCCAAACGACATTATATGACCCCGAGATATATCCCCTAAAATCTCTATCCTTTTCGACACCGGGTC